CTTCAGGCAACATTTGGACAGAAATATGTATGCAATATACATGGAAGAGGATTCCAATCCCATACTACTTGAGCAGATATTTTAAAGAAGTCATTTTGCTCCTTGACTCATCTAGAAAGGCTGTTTTTGTATGGGCTATCCCTTTCCCCCAAAAATTTCAGACAATTATAGGGAGCATAGCAGGGATGTGACGAATATAGCACCAGAGGTTACAAGAACACAATTTTTGAACCCCCTTTCCCTAATCTTGTTTTGGGGCGGGAGGGGGGCATGCAGTTGAACCAAGTGTTAACTTTAATGGAGACTGAAGTTCAGTTTCTACCATTTTTGTCTTTTTAAAGACTATATCCAAAGAGAAATATTAAATAAAAAACATTTTATTTTAGGACATTATCTGGATCAGAAAAGATTGAAACAAGGTCTATATCGTCATCCTTGGGACGATATCTCTTATGTCTTACCAGAGCATATGACTATGTGACAACTGAATGGAACAAAACAAATTGCTTTTATGGAAGACCAATAAATATGACTACGCTGTATGGCTTGGTTGTAAAACAGACTGAGTTGAAATTCTATATAAGGCTTTTCTAGGCTTAGATGTGGATTCCATAAATAATGATAAACCAAAACATTCGCTACTTTCTGTTGTATTTAATATATTAAAGAAGTTGTACTGTCTTTGCTTGTTCCTTTATGCATGTTTATTTTGTCTTCCACCCCTCACTTCAGTAATTCTGGCCAAATGTTAATGTTTTTTATTTTAATCTGTGACCTCATTAGACTTGAAAAACTTAAGTCAAATGGACTTGTATGATCAAAATATTAAAAACTCTCCTTACAAGCTGTGTATAATTTTGTGACAAATTTGTCCTTTCTGTATCCTGTATTTTATATTAATCGTTAGTCTTTATTTCTGGTCTGAGGGACTACACCTGATTTGATAAGCCTTTATAAACCTGGTATATTTAAAAATGTAAAACTGGTAACATAAGCTCATGTTCAAAACTGTGAACTTTGTGTGCATTCCAGTTTTTGTATTTATGCAGGTAATATTTTTAGTTGCACAAACACAAGTCCTACTATTTTTGCAGACAGTGATCTCTGAATATATCTGTGTGCACAAGACACTTCATCTCTGGATCTTTAATGTATTCACAACAATAGTCAGTGCTTCATTTATGTATTACAACCTGACTCAAATAAAAATGTACAATAATAAATCATCTTTGCTAGATTTTGTATTTAATGAAATTTTGGCTGAGAGAAAAAAGTGTTAAGAGGAGGAAGTACGGTAATCTATATGTTGTTATTTCAACATAAAGATTAGTGATTTCAAACTGTTTGGTGTTCGTAAACCCATGAAGAGCACTCTCTCCCTCCCTCATCAGTGGAGTGCCCCAAACATATGGTTCTAGGTGACTTCGGTCTGTCTTTCCTGCGTTCAACTTCAGAAATGATGATCTCCATGAACGGCCTATTCCAGATTGTCACAGGTCCGATTCTTGTGTCACACACCAGATCTAATATTCTTATCAGAGCAATGACAAGGTGTTCTGGTGGGGTCAGATCACACCCTTATATCCAGAGATATATCACCCACCACCCACCTCTGCAAAGAGCCTGGACACACACACACAAACCGAGACTGATAGAGCCAAGTGGATTTCAGAAAGATCTGGGGGATATCCTAAAGGATTTACTGCATAGTCCTGCTGAAGCCTTAGTAAAGGCCTGGAACCAGAAGGCCACTGAGGCTCTGGACAGGATCACCCTCTCACATGCTTCCCTCCCATCATTCTCTGTGCTTCAAAGAACAACAGAGGATTCTGAAATGGGTTGAGATTTCTAGAGGTAAATTAACTCTACAGGTAAACTAAGACTGGACATGTCTTAGATCCCCTATTAAGGCCTATCTCATGGTGATAAAAATGGTGAAACAAAAATAGTTCTCTGCTCTTATTGCATTCACAGTGTCACCCATTGACCCTTTTCCAAATCATTCAATCCCTACTAGCCCAAGGGGGTTAGGACCATCATCAAACACCTGTCACACAACATAACTCATGTTCAATTCCAGTTAAAACCTTGTAAGGTGCTAGTCTTTGGGAGATGCCTAGGGAGACATCTTGCCTAGTAATTTGGGAACACAGCCACCAAAAAAGCCAATGCATTCCTAGGTTGCAATAAAGAGGTATAGAATCAAAATCACATGAATTACTAATTAGTAAGACCACATTTAGAACACTGCATCCAGTTTTGGTCATCATACAGTATTATTAAAAAAATGTTGAGACTCTGGAAAGAATGCAGAATAAAGCAACAAAGATTAGAGGCTGAAGGCTAAAATATATGAAGAACATTTGAAGGAATTGGGTATGTCTGTCTAGTGAAGACTAGGAATGATATGATAGCAGTGTTCCAATATTTGAGGGGTGCCATAAAGAGGTCAACCTATTCTCCAAAGCCCAGAAAGCAAGACAAGAAACAATGGATGGAAACTAATCAAGAAGAAAAGCAACAAAGAACTAAGGACAAATTTCCTGACAGTGAAAACAATTAAACCAGTGGAACTGCTTGCTTTCAGAAGTTGTGGGTGCTCTATCACTGGAAGTGGAAGAGGCTGGAAGCCATTTGTTTGAAATGGTATAGTGTCCTGCTTGAGAAGGGGATTGGACTAGAAAATCTCCGAGGTACCTTCCAACTCTGTTTATCCTATGCCTATCCGTGTTTTATCCTAATCTATTTGACTTTAACATATTTGGCTAAGAGATTAATTTGTATTCTAATACTTTTATCATATAGGACTTCTTTCAGCCATTCTAAGGTTAGATTGGGTTAGTATTGGAAGAAATGTCCATCTGGGTTCAGTTCCAAATGGGAGAAAGACACTGGAAACATGGAGACTGCTTGGAAAGATGGTCTAATGGTGGATAGGACTACATGGGTTTTTTGGGTCCTGGGCAAAATGAGCACATGGATGAGAGAGGGAGACAGATTTATACCCTCTCTTGAGCCTCGCCTTGGAGCTTCCTGTTCCTGTGAAAGAAATGTATTCTGATTGGTTGTCAGACTCTCATGGGGCCATGCAGGGGTAACTTCGTAGTGACTTGAGTCCCAAGCTTGGTTGAATCTTGCTGGGTGATGTAATCTCCCCAGGTGCCATGTGGTGGGTTCTGTTGCTAGATGGGTAGAGGGCTAATCCTATCATGTCCTGAGGGCCATGTCTTAATCTCATCACCCTGGACCTGAAGTGGGGGGCAGGGAGCTGCAGGGAGCTGCTTTGTCTTTAAAATGTAAGGTCCGGCTATACGCTTAAGCTCTCAGTGAACCAAAAAGAAAGACTTAAACGGAGGCTTGAATAAGAATCAACATTTAATCTTTGATCAAAGACAAAAGGCTGGGTAAAACCATTCCAAACACATACAAAGAGATATGTATATGGGAAGGTTCACATCTTCAGAGAAGATGTAACCACGTTTTATACCTTTAAAGCATCAGTTAGATCCCCAATTCTGGCCCCTTAATTTATGTTTGTGTATTCTTTGTTGCCCTGCAAAGGAATCTAAACTTCCAATTAGTCTTATCTTTGTTTACTTAATTGGCCACTTAGCGCCTGGCTCCTGAAGACCAGATCTTACCCAGATCAGACATAAATTAGGATTGAGTTGTAAATTACCCCTTTGTTGATGGCTGGAGTTCCAACAGATACGTACCATGTTTTTAGGTGGCACAGAAAGAGATTGATATGAGCAGGTCAAATGGCAGGGACATACGTTTGACAAATACCAGATACATTTCAGAGGCCTAATGACAATATGTTTGTAACAGGAGATACAAATAGAAAGGAATAATATATGTGATACAAAAGCACAATATATATGTTACAGGAACCTAATGATTACAAAATAACAAGCTTTTACTAAATCTAGTATATCAGTATTTTATATTCTATATTATTGTTTCCCTACAAAAACATGTTTCTCCCTTTCTCATCCAGGGAAATATAATATTCTGCCTTTCAAATATTTCATTCTTCTAGATGGGTGGGTGCTAACTTTCTTAGATTAGATTAGATTAGATTAGGGTTAGATTTCTTTCACATCCATTCTTCCCATGATTCATTCTGAACATTTATCTTCACTTTAGAGTTCACAAAAGAGATAACCCAGACCCCAATTTGTACTAACGAACTTTTCTTATCAGGAGCTTGTTTATCCGTTTAGGAATGTTAAAAGCTAATAAATCTTGAACATTACTTTAAAAGAAAGAATATAAATCAGATTAAAATGCAAAGTAACTATGTTAGTTAACAAATTTTGCTTAACGCATTGTAAGCCGCCCTGAGTCTCTGGAGAAGGGCAGCATATAAATCAAATTAAAAAATAATAATAAAAAAAAAATAACAGAAGCCATGTTATTTGCCCCTCAAATCCACTAAGAAAACATATAGGCAACCTAACAGAAAGTCTAACAGATTAACAGAGTTGGAAGGGACCTTATAGGTCATCTAGTCCAACCCCATCCCCAAGCAGGAGACACTACTACACCATTTCTGACAACCTGGCGAATATGTTACAAATACAACCAAAACTCAGTTTTATTCCAAGCACTTTCCTGCAAACATTCAAGCTAGCGACTGCCAACATCCAAAAACCTACAAATATGTACAATACTAATTTGATAAAGAAGCTGAACATTCTTTTTCTACAGTGGTTTATCCATTTGGGATTACAATTTAAGGTGTTTTCTTTTAACTAGCCTGCATTTGTCCTAGGTTTTCAAAAAATAGCTTTCCTCTTTATTTTGCAACTGAGGGGAAAAAGGCAATTAAAAATAAGCAGGAAGCCGATTTTGAAAAGAAAAAAAAACCTTGAGAATTTTATGCGAATCATTCTTACATCTGTGATCGCACGCGGCGACTATTAGTGCCGGAAGTATGATATATTCATATCTCTATGATCTTGTAAGTGACGTAATTCGAGGCAGCAACAGAAAAACTTCGAATCGATTTAAAAATAACCAAGATGGCGGCAACTGGAGGCGGCGGGCCGGATGTCAACCACCCTGGCCTGGAGGGCGAGGCGGGGCCAGACTCGGAGCCTGACTCGGAGGTGTTTTCGTGCGTGGCCCACTGCTCCGACCTCGCCTGCCGCCAGAACGAACAGCGGCGGTTAGGCCTCTTCTGTGACGTCACGCTAGCCTTCAGTGGCGGCAGCAATGAGGAGGAGGAGGAAGAAGAGGAGGGGGGAGTGGGCGGGGCCTCCTCCGGCTCCGACCCCCCGCCGCGAGAGTTCCGGGCGCACCGCTCGGTCCTGGCAGCGGCCACCGAATACTTCGCTCCTCTCCTTCTGGGCGACTTCGCGGAGTCCCGCTCGGGGCGGGTAGAGTTACGCAAATGGAGTTCGGGAGCGGGACCAGACCCGGAGACGATCGAGGCGGTCATCAGCTTCATGTACACGGGGACGGTTCGCGTCAGTCCTGGCAACGTGCACGAGGTCCTGGAGTTGGCTGACAGGTGAGGCGGGGAGGAGGAACGAGGCGTCGGGGGATAAATCGGACGCCAACCGACTGATGCGTGTCGGCCGGAAGTTTTCCTGAGTTCTGACGGGTGAAGGTATCTTAACCCGAGGGAGTTCTTAGGAAAGGCAACCAAGGATGGTCCTTCTGTGCCTCCTTCCCTGGAACTGCGAAAATTGATGCGGGGTTCCAGTGTAACCCAGTGGTGGCTTTAGTTGGAGTAGACTAATTTGCCTGAAGGACCAGAGGTCTGGCTTGCTATAAGGCATATCAAGAAGTATAGAAATACACCGAATGGCAGCATTGAACATGGACCTTACCAAGGTGAACATTCATATGGCAACATTTCTCCCAGTGCAGTTTCTGAATTACTTGAGTTACAGCATGAAGGGGGACTGCTGGACGCTTAAAGACAAGTTCAGCTCTGGCACCTTTTAAAAAAAGACAGTGGCACTGGAGATTTTTGAATGTCAGTTTAGTAGAAAGCAAAATACAAGTTATTATCTATCTAATAATTCTCAAACCAAAAATTAGATATAAACTACTGTTAGATGCTAAGGAAAGGGGGGGGGTTGGTTTACCAGATTTGAAATTGTATTTTGACGCTTGTTGTCTGGTCTGGCAAAAAGAGTGGGTGAACCTCCAGAACAAGATGGTAACTGATTTAGAAGGTCATGAATTAAAATTCAGATGGCACAGCTATTTATGGTATGACAAAGTTAAAGTAAATGTTGATTTCAACAATCATTTTTTTTAGAAGAGCCATAGCAAGTTTTGGAATAAATACAAAACAAGGTTTCCTATGGAGATGCTTCTTTGAGTGTTCCCCCCAGGAAGCCTTTTTCAGAAAAGAAATGGTGGTAAAGCCGAACTGGTGGACTTATGGTAAAATAATATCTTTTAACTTTGGTGATCCCACCCTCAAGTCCAAGGAAAAGTTAGAATCAGAAGGTTGTGTCTGCCATTGTATTTACAACTGAAAGAAAAATTTAAGTTGGACAAAAAGAGTTATGGGTTTGACTTTGTTAAAAATGAATTGGAAATCTTACTGTGTAATAGTGATTAACATATTCAAAGATTTATAAAACGTTATTGAAATTGAATTTGGAAAGTGAACATATAAAGCATTGTATGATTCAGTGGGCAAGGAACATTGGCTATAATGTGATGTTTGAACAGTGAAAGAATATGTGGACAAAAGGTTTAAAATTTACATTAAACTAATTTAAAAGAAAGGTTCTATAAGATGATGTATCTACTGTAACACCAGACAAATTATCCAGAATGTATAAAGATATTTCAAATGAATGTTGGAAATGTAAATTTAAAAACGGGGCAGTCTACCATTTATGGTGGAAATGTAATAAAGCAAAGAAATTAAGGATCTTTTAAGAACAGAAAATTCTTAAAGTGAATATAAAAATAAAACCAAACACTTTTCTTTTGGGCTTCATGGAAAAAGACTTGGGGGGGGGGGAATTGGAACGTTGATGGCAGCAAGGCTGTAAAAGTTAGCAGAGATGGTTAAATTAACTGTTTTGATCAAAGAAAAGAATATAAGTACTTTTGTTTCTACTTGGAAACTGCTTCTGGGCTTTATGCTTGAGGTGGAAAAAATGAAACTTTGATTTGGGGTTTTATTGATTGGTTAATTGTTATAGAAATTGCTAGTTTATACTATTATGGAAAAGTTAAAAGTTGAGGTTTGATGTTAAATGCCTTATTCCACTGCAACAGAGTGAAATCAATGCCTTTTTTTCTTTCCCCCTTCTGCCCCTCCCTTTTGTTTCCTACTACTTGCTTCTGTATTTTTGTATTTTATATTATAAGCTAATAAAAATATTTTGGATCGCAATAAACAAACTATCTAATAATTCACCGGTGGCATTTCTAAATTGCCTTTTTGTTTTGCAGGTTCTTACTAATACGTCTAAAAGAGTTCTGTGGGGAATTCCTCAAGAAAAAACTGAGTCTCTCCAACTCTGTAGCCATTCACAGCTTAGCTCATATGTACACTTTGAACCATCTGGCTTTAAAAGCTGCTGAGATGATCAGGAGGAACTTCTACAAAGTCATCGAAGATGAAGAGTTCTATACTTTGCCATTTCACCTTATTAGGGACTGGCTTTCAGATTCAGAAATCACAGTCGATGCAGAAGAGATTCTCTTTGAAATGGTTTTAAAGTGGGTCAAGAAAAATCCTGACGAAAGAGAAAAGTACTTCGGAGAGCTCTTTAAGCTTCTCCGACTATCACAAATTAAACCAACCTATTTGACTCAGCATGTTAAATGTGAAAAGCTGGTATCAAGCAATGAAGCATGCCTCAAACTTGTGTTGGAAGCAGTGGAAAGCCATGCTCTCAAGGGTGAAAATTTTCAGCTGGGTACACTCCAGCAAGTTAACTCCCCCATCTCATCTCTGCCTCGTTTTGGCCAAAACATGGATGTTATCATGGTCATTGGTGGTGTATCTGAGGGAGGTGATTACTTGAGTGAGTGTGTGGGGTACTTTATTGATGAAGATAGATGGGTGAATTTACCGCACACCCACAATCACCTTGATGGACATGCTGTGGTAGTAACCGAATCCTATCTTTATGTGGCAGGTTCCATGGAGCCTGGCTTTGCCAAGACCATGGAAAGGTATAACCCAGGTAGAAATGTTTGGGAGCAGGTTTCCAATTTGATAACCAGGAAGCATTATTTTGGACTTACTGAGGTAAAGGGAAACCTGTATAGCATTGGTGGACGGGGTTATTTCATCCCTGGTTTTAAAGAAGTGGCTGTCTACAATCCTGATCAAGATAAGTGGCACAATTTGGAGTCTGCACCAAAGATACTCCGGGATGTTAAAGTGATTACAATAGACAACAGGTTTGTTTACATGGCAGCTCGCACACCAGATGACGGAGATAATGAAGATGGCTTAAGGTCTGTCATTATTCGTTACGATGCAGACACACGACAGTGGCGAGATTGTGAGTCTCTGCCACTTCTTGACAACTATTGCTGTTTCCAAATGGTTGTGGAGAACACCAACTTTTACCACACCGCTTCATGTTGTCCCAGAAGCTATGCTCTAGACCATGAAGAGGCCAAGAGAAAAATCTCTAACCAAGTATCTGATGACATTCTGGGAAGCTTACCATCAGAGGTTCTTAGCATTGAAGGGGCGGCTATCTGCTATTACAAAGATGATATCTTCATCATAGGTGGATGGAAGAACAGTGATGATACTGATAAACGGTACAGAAAAGAAGCCTACCGTTACTGTGCTGAGAAGAAGCGTTGGTTGTTACTCCCTCCTATGCCTCAGCCTCGCTGCCGTGCTACAGCCTGTCACGTGAGAATCCCCTTTCGGTCCTTACATGGTACCCAGAAATATCCAATGCCGCAAAATCTAATGTGGCAGAAGGACCGGATCCGGCAGATGCAGGAGATACACCGACATTCCTTAAATTTACGGAGGATGCCTCACTCTCAGATAGAATGCTAGCTTGAATAAATGCCATCAGAAATACCTGTCCGTAATTGTCATGCCTGGCATGGACTAATAGCCATCAAACTGCTTAAGGATTGAAGACAAAGCTTTCTTGTTGCTCAGTAATGATCTGGATTACTAGACCACATGGAAATTTGGTGTATAGTAGCCATAAATATGAAGATAAACAGACATAGAACAGTCTTAGAGTCTATTGGTTTCTCCACCGATGTGATCCAGTTATAGAACCCAACAAAAGAATTGTTCTTGCATTTTGTAAATGTGTTCAGGTTGTATAAAATTGTACAAAAATTCAGCACAGTCTTTTTTTCCCTTTACATGTATGTATTGGACTTGCTTTTTGTGTATTGGGTCATCCCATCTCACTTTAAATGTTATAAAGGTCATGTGAAGTATTTCTATTTGTTTTATAATACTGATGTATATGTAAAGGACCATTTGAAGGTTTTTTTAAGACATTTTTATCTGCTTTTGCAGAGATATTTCTCTTTTTAATCTGCTGCGAATCTGCTTATTTCTGTCAAATGTGGATATGTGCAATACTTAAAAACAAGAAGAGTAAAGCACAATCTTTCTAAGAATTTCAAAATGTTTCATGATTATAATATTTTATACTTTTATTTATCTAAAAGCACTTGAGTTTGCTAAAAAGTATATTGATAAAAAGAATAAAATTTCTTATTTGAGTCATTTGCATTCATACAATGAAAAATTTGTGAGATGTGTCTCACAAAAAATTAGAACCTAATTTTTAGCAAGACCATTCTATTTTTTTTGTAGTCCCCCTGGTTTCCCATTAATTAATTTTATTTAATTGGTCCAATATTCCAGCCTTGAAGAAATGAATAGAAAGACCAAAAGAATACTAATTCATAACTGAAGCAATTGGGAATACATTATGGAAGGATTAAAGTTGCAAAAATTCTGGGTGTCAGTATTTAGGTAATAACTTTAACTACCATCTGATCTGTCTTCAACCATCAAACTTCTTTGTCTTAATGATATATTCCTTACGTGGATAATAACACAGTTCAGGAAGATAAAATTATGTAGAACATACAATATTTAATATAAACTTCTTGGTTCAACAGAATATTTAATTTTACATCCATTAATAATTTTGTTCCATTATATGTGTCCCAAGGTGTCCAACACATTACTTGATTTCCTGAGGCAGTTTTGTAATGAAATTTGCTTTGGCATCATTATTCTACTCTCTTTCAGAACTTAAATATGTATTCACAGCATTTATTCTGTATCTACAAATGATTAAAATAACAACCATCTTATAAGGCCATCTTATGAAACCATCTTCATTTAACTAGAGCAAGATAGAGTACTTCTTAATCTCCTTTTCACACTTTGCATCAGAAATGGCAGTAAATAAAAATGTTGTGATAGGAATATCTAAGGAAATCTCAAGAAAAGTCGAACCATGATGCATGTGGTCATCAGATGATATGCAAGCAGAATCCTTAGAAAAAGAATTGACTGCTTCTTCATCTACTGTATAAGTATTTTCTGAGAAAGATCTAAAACAGTTAACTTCGTCCAGATCTATTTTTCTAATCTCTTACTTTTTTTTTCTCTCTTTTAATTAGTCCATATTTATCCCTGAGAGATTCATTTGCAATCTTTGCTGCCAGTTTCCCCAGAATGTCATGGGGAAGTTGGTGGGGAAAGTTACAGGTGGAGGAGATACTAGATTTCAGGTCTGTCCCTCAGTTAGGTAAGGGATTTTCCTTCCCCTCCCTGCATGCTGGAAGAACATGGTGAAAATGCTAGCAAAGGCCAGTATTCTGAACATTGCCTGCTTTCAGAATCTTTCAAAAGATGCATTTGCTATAATTTTCACTTCTGGAGGAAATTCCGTGGCGCACTGAAGGAAGAACCTGAAATTTGGGGAAAACACTAGTGACCACCATCTTCCCTGGTAATGTGGGGAGAGGGCCCAAGCCTTCCAAGTGATTGGCGGTCTGGGCCATCTCTCTGGCACCCCACCTAACAATCCATGTGGTCCCGTGATTGTAACTGGGGGAGCAGGAATTGCGTTCACTGAGTAAGATAATGATGTATCTTGTTTAAAGATCACAAATGAGATTCTGGGCCCAACTGTGGTCAGAAAAGGACTACTTGTTTAAATGACCGGCATTCACAAGCAGCATTCAAAATGATTTATAATATTAAAATACCAAACTTACCAAACTAAACAGTTTTGCAAGCAAAGCAAAAATTTGTAATGAAGGTCAAATATATACCTAGTATGAAGTTTTTAAATATTTAATTTCAGGTAGTAGGGATGTACATACTCTACAAATTCAATCTATTTTATTTAACATTAAAGGGAATGCTGAGTGATCTAAGAAAGACTTCAGACTGAAAAGCTACAATTCCAATTAAACGATTTTAAATTTTCCACACAGATGTGTCCATGCTTAGAGCTGGATAATATTCTTCTATATTTCTTTTTTTTTTTTAATTGAAAAAGTTTTACAAATACATTTTCTCCCCAATTTCCCCCCCAACCCTCCCTAACCCCCCCTAGCCCTCCCTAACCCCCCCCTAACCCTCCCCTCCCCCCCGGACTTCCACAGAATATAATCCAAATCAAAAACATATTTTATAAAACTTGAACCCCTCCACCCCCTATATATTTTTCACATTTTCACAATTCAATTATTCTATCACTATATAATACCGTCAATTAAAAGCTATCTGGTATTTCCTAGTTTGATATTTATTCTGCACATAATCTATCCACTTTTTCCACTCCCATACATAAGTCTCTTGTGTCCGATCTTTTAGATATGCTGAAATCTTGGCCATCTCTGCAAAACTAGCCATCTTCAAAGTCCATTCTTCAATAGTGGGCATAGCATCATTTTTCCAATATTGACCTATCAGTAGTCTTGCTGCTGTAATCATATACAATATCAGCTTTACTTCACCCAATGTAAAACCCTTAACTATACCCAATAGAAACAATTGTGGAGAGAACTTAATTTTTTTCTTCAAAACATTTTGCATGACCCACCAAATTTTTATCCAAAAAGCCTTCACTTTCTTACAAGTCCACCACATATGATAATATGTGGCATCTAGGCAATCACATCTCCAGCATTTTGGTTGAACATTAGGGTACACACACGATAACTTCTTAGGATCTAAATGCCACCTATAAAACATTTTATAAAAATTTTCCCTCAAATTCTGCGATTGTGTAAATTTAACATTCTGAACCCATATTTTTTCCCATGTTTCCAACATCACTGGTTCTGCAAAATTTTGTGCCCACTTTATCATACAATCTTTAACCAGTTCAGTTTCTGAATTCCTTTCTAACAAAACATTATAAACCCTTTTAATATGCATTGGACCTTTCTCTTTTATATGTCTAACCAATTCTTCTTCATGCATCATTATACCAGTTTTTTGGTCCTCTTTCCATCTCAGTTGAAGTTGGTTATACTGTAACCAAGTTAAATTAATCCCTTCTTCCAACAGCGTTTCTAATGTCTTCAGTTGCCATCTGCCCGCATCTGTAAAAAGAACTTCTTTATATAAAACCCCCACAAGTGACATTATATTTGTATTCCACAAGATATGACCAAGATCCAGCCATAGCGGTATTTTATAATCCCATTTGAATCGGTGCTTCCTCCAGGCTCTCATCAAAGAATTTCTGAGTATGTGGCTTTTAAATACTTTATCCACTTTGTTCCCATAAAATAAGTATGCATGCCAACCAAATTCAAGATCATAACTTTCTATATTCAGTATTCCAGTCTTTTTTCTTCCAAACCAATCACTTGCTTGTGTCAAAGCTGCTGCTTCATAGTATAATTGTAGGTTTGGAAGTTTAAGGCCTCCCCTTTCTGGAACATCTTGCATAATTTTCAGCTTAACTCTCGGTTTTTTCTCATTCCATACAAACTTATTCACTCCACTTTGCCATTCTCTTAGTTGTTTATCACTTTTAAGCACCGGAATCTTGGCAAAACATTCATCTTAACTGCTGCTATTCTTCCAAGTAGAGACAGCTGCAGTTTTTTCCAAATCTCCATATCTTTCTGTACCTCTCGCCACAACACCTCATAATTATTTTGAAACAATTTCATGTTTGATTCTGCAACCTGAACTCCTAGATATTTAACCTTTGATACTATCTCAAAACCTGCCTTGCTTTCAAGTTCCTGTTTTCGATCTTGTGTCATATTTTTAACTATCATCTTCATTTTTCTCTGATTCAATCTAAATCCTGATACCATACCATATTGTTCTATAATGTCTTTCATCTGGATTATTGATTCCATCGGTTGTGTTAGGGTAACAACCAGATCATCTGCAAATGCCCTTATTCTGTAATCCTCTTGCCTTATCACTATTCCCTTCAAGGTACTCGAGTCCCGTATTGTGATCAACAAGACTTCTAATGTTAAAATAAATAGCAATGGGGATAGTGGACAACCTTGTCTTGTTCCTTTTTCAATACTAAAATTTGTTGTCAAACTTCCATTAATAATAATTTGTGCCATTTGTTCTTGATAAATTGCTGAAACCGCCTGTAGAAATTGATCCCCAAAATCCATCTTTCTTAAAGTCTTTAGTAGAAAGTTCCAATCCACTCTATCAAAGGCCTTCTCCGCATCCAGAAAAACCAGCACTGCAGGGATCTGTTTATTCTTCTCAAGATATTCCAATAAATCTATAATTTGCCTTACATTATCCTTCATATATCTGCCTTCTATAAATCCCGCTTGATCACCTCTTGAATAACTGGCATCACCCTGTTGGCTAATACTTTTGCAAAAATTTTATAATCGTTGTTCAGAAGAGATATTGGTCTAAAATTCTCAGTTTTTTTAGGACCTACTTGCTCTTTCGGTATCAGTGAAATATAAGCTGTTTTCCATGAAGGGGGTATTTTACCCCCTTGTTGTATACTACAAAATAGATCTTTAAGATGTTCAATCATTTCTGCTTGTAAAGTTTTATAATACACCGCAATTAAGCCATCCGTCCCTGGTGCTTTAGCTATTTTCAATTGTTTAATTGCGGCACTAATCTCCTCAACTGTTATAGGATGGTCCATTCTCTCCTTTTGTTGACTAGAAATTTTTGTAACTCTTATTTTTTCTAAATATTTCTCTATAAGTCCATTCTGTATATCATCTTTGGCATATAATTTAGTATAATAATCTAAAAAAATTTCTTTAATTAATTTTTGTTGAGAAACTTCCTTCCCTCCACTGTCAACACTATCGATGACCCGTGCACTCTGCTTCTTCCTTAGTGTATAAGCCAACCATCTGCCCGGTTTATTAGCGTTGCAAAATGTATTATGTTTTGGAAATTGTAAATTTGTTGCTGTTTGTTCCGCCATAAGCATTTGAAATTGGTCTTTCAAAAGTTTTATAGCTCCTCATATTCTTTCATCTGTTGGATTTTTTATAAGTAACTGTTCTTTGTTCTTTATTTCTGCTTCCATTTCAGATCTTTTCTTTTGTCGGTTTAATTTATGTTTAGAGTTCGTATGAATAAGTACCCCTCTCATATATGCCTTACTCGCATCCCACACAATTTCAATAGGGGTACCCTTATTCAAATTCATTTCAAAAAATTCTTTCATCTGCTTTTTAAATTCTGTTATATTCTTTTCATATCTAAACAAATTTTCA